ACTCTATTTACAAAGGTACGAGTTTTACTATTGGACGAAGACGCCATAAATCAAAACTTTATCATAAGCGAACCGCACACTCAATATCATGTGACCAACCGCTTACATAACTCGACAAATCATGAGTGGATTGAGGATCAGATCATTCGGCAGTTGCAGCGGTACTCATACAGTATCCAGGATCAAACACCCACCTTGACGATGAAACTTCTACCAAAGGCAATAAAGGGAATGTCATCATTGATCACACCGCTCACCAACTGCCACTTCAAAACCAGGCGATTTCTCCGAAGGTTCCACCTCCCAATCTCCCCACACCGGCGCTCCACTCGTCTCAACTGCCCCATCGGCCCTTTACGACGGCAAAGTATCCTTTCCCACTCCACAATCACACCAATTGGTATTTCAAAAACTCGCCAAAAGATACCATTACTAACACAGATATTCTCGCCGCGGCATGCGATTTCCCCCACTTTTTCCCGCGATAGACACGAAACTCTAGATCTGCCCTTTCCCCTTGGCATCTTCAAACCTGAGGACCCCAACCAGAGCCCAGAAGACCTCTTCCAGCCCCTTCCCAGCACCTTGGAAAGCCCAAGTTCACCCCTCTATCATGTTAACGACTTTACAAAGACCCTAATCTACATCGACGGCACGAGCATCAACAATGGAAGCCCGGATGCCAAAGCCGGGTGCGGCGTCTACCGCTCGCCCAATGAATTACTGAATATATGCCGCCCGCTACCCGTCGGCACAACAAATAGTAGAGCGGAACTTTGGGCCGCGGTGTGCGCATTGGAATTGATTGTTCGCGAACCTATTGCCGCTGACGCGGTCACCTCTCCCACTGGCGTCGGTGGCGCTGCCGTGGACAGCTGGATTATCGCTAGTGATTCAAGCTATGTTGTCATAGGGGCTACGAATTGGGCTTGGAAATGGCGGGCTGTGGGGTGGAAGAAGAATGCCTCCAAGGCGGGACGGAAGAAGAAGAATGCCTCCAAGGCGGGACGGAGGAGGAAGGATGCCTCCAAGGTGGGGTGGAAGAAGAACGCCTCCAAGGCGGGGCGGAAGAAGGAGAATACCTCCAAGGTGGGGGGAATAGGACTGAGCGAGGGCTCGATGCTGGGTGAGGGTTTTGTGCCGAATGCAGACTTGTGGAATCGTTTGCTGAGAGGGATCATGGATGTTCAGGGGGGGGTCTTGTTCTGGTTGATCCCGAGGAAGTGGAATCGGGCGGATGGGTTGGCGAAGCGCGGGGCTGTGAGAATTTTTACTATTTATCTCCGTCTTTCTATCATTGTGGGGACTAACTAATTGATGGAGAAACTCGACTTCACGCTCGAGGATGATCCGGGGGCTTTGCGCTCCGATAATTTTAGGAATACCTAGTCGTTCTCGCGGCCTCCCTACGGCCCAAACCCGCCTGCACTACCCCGCGTCGCTGCCACCAGCACCACCACCGCCAGCAGAGCTGGAAGAGGATAAAAAAAAGGATATTGCTACTGCGCTCCTGGGTAAGGGAAAGTCTCTCGGGCACAATTCGACAAACTACCCGACTCACCCACCGATGGGCCGGTCTGAATGAGGTGTACAAGTACAATACCCCCTCCCCCCAACCCATGCACTATCATAATCTATCATGCGATAGTACCGATACCTTGATTATTTATTTTACACATGATATATATATATATAATACTGTGGTATTTTATTATCACGCACATCTGTTTACTGATATTAAAACTAAGTTCCTGTGCTCGAGTGTACTGTACTGTACCGTATTGTACAGACTGATAGTGCCCGCATGATCCACACCAAAAAAAAAAGCTCCTTCCTTGCTTTTTCTTGTACACTAGTTTCAACGAATACCGGTAGAGAACATGATGATCTTTCTTCCTTTTTCTACCACTTTCTTCTTTCTTAGTCCTATTGGCTCACTCTTTACTTACCGTACAGTACTTACCTGCAGAATTAAGTGTTTTTTTTCACAGTACCGTATCATATGGTGTTATCTCGCTCGAAACTGTGGAAGGAGGGAGCGAACGAGCGAGCACGTTTGTACGACGCGAGGGGGATCAACTTGGCGTTTGGGGGTGTGTTTTTGTATTGGATGTGCATTGGGGAGCGTGATGTGATTCTGAGCTACACGTGACTGGCGGAGATGGGTTGGGTTGGGTTGGGTTGGGTTGGTTAGTTGTTGGGATATGCTCGGAACAGAGACAAAGTGCCGGAATACGGTAGATGGGGGAATGGATGATGGGAGAGAATGCTGTGAGGCGGGGTGAAGATAGGTTTTTTTTCTGGGGGGAGGGGTTTGGGTTTTTGAGCTTTGATAGATGGTATTGGTTTGTGGCATACTGGTGCTGTATGAGTGGTGGATGGAATGGACGGGTGTGGCTACTCTACCATATCATAGGTAGTGACTTGTACAATAAGTACCGGTACAGTTTGATACTCTCACCACTAAGCACCGGTAGTTGCATCAAGCTTTTTTCTCATTTCTTTCCTTTTTTCAACCTTTCCCCTTCACCGATATGACAACTCCCAGCTCCCCCAAGTACGATATCAAGCCATCCCTGGCCCACTTGCTCTGCTCAATCAGACGGATTTGATATAGTCTATTTGAACACCAAAATAGTCCAAACCTCTACGCCGACAAACGGTTCTTCAAACCCAACTTGTGACACAACAATATATTTTTGGCTAACCTATCCAGTTGTTTGCATGTTTGTTTGCATATTTGTTTTCTCGGGTTGGATGGAGTGATTTTATCACAAGTTTTGGGATGTGTTGGTTTTTTTTTGTGAGGGAGGTGATAATGAGGGTGCGGTATGGTTGATGGTTGGGTGTGGGAAGAGGTGCGATATGATTGGATGTTCCGACAAATTGCTAAGGTTGTCCCCGACGGTGGGAGCTGCCGCCGCCGCGCTGAAGGTGCCGAGGCTTAGGGAGGGAGGGGATTCTGTGGTAAATGGGCCCTTCTGCGACTTGTTCGGATGGGGTTAGTTGAGGATCGGCCCTTTCGCAAGCGGTCATGTAAGGGTTTTCGTGACCGTCAATTGAGTCAGAGAGTGTGTGAGGTCGGGAATCATCCTTCTGGGTGGTATGATATCATGACGTACCCGTACTTGTACCGTACTTAGGGTGTAAGCATGAGTCTGTCAAGCCTTTGCTGATAGGCTAGTTTTCGGATGAATATGCGGGTTGTCTGCATGTACGATATGATTGGCAGTTTCCTGTGACATTTCACAGAAATCGATAAAGGAAAAAAATGTTGTCAAAGATTTTAAATTTACATCCAAAATAGCTAAGGGAAAATATAAAAATGTGGAATTAATACTCGGTAGTATCCACTTCAGCTACCCCTACTACTTCTAGTCTATTAGGCATACAAGTACTAGTAATAAGTTTTGATAACTATTCTAGTATAATGGATCTCTAAGTAGCTTGAATTATCAGAAATAGGATATTAATATTCTCCATCATCATCCTTTTATATACTTACATACTATACTAATTTAATAGTATTTATTTCTAATAAAAAAGCAGGCTAATAAATGACATAAACCCATTTCTCTTTGTTATAGCTCTGCTTTTATATCTGCTGTTACATGACCAAGTACTCTATCATCTATGAGCTTGAGGTGTATCCTATCCTGCCAACTCAGTTTCAGGTATATCCTATCCTGTCAACTCAGTTTCAGGTATCAATAAATAATTGGAGGCACATATGTAAATTAGCATTCAGAATTAACTTACTCCGAATCCTTCTTCCAAAATATGTTAGAACTCTTTATTATCTTACAAAAATAACTATAGAATATCTACTTAAAAAATTTCCTCATATTTATTACTAATATCAGTTAATTCTCTCTTCTTACTAGACCTTCTTATAACATAGATCTAAGTATATTGTGCATCTGTAATTCAGAACTCATTAGTCTACAGAATTAAGTACTACTTATCTATTATTCAGTACAGATAATTATGTGCCAATTACAGTTAAATCACTCAATTTTATTTAGTAATAGGTAATTCTCTGTGAGGGGGAGACAATCTGTATAGATTTCAGAATTGTCTAGGCCAATCAAGATTTGTTTCTACAGTCACTCGGCAGAAATGTTTGTGAAACCGGTCTCAGTTGACTAAGCTGCCTCGTCAAAATGCCACCTTTCAACGAAGTGTAAAGTTGATCGTCACTGTTCACCTCATCGCGATCATGACTATTCACAAATCTACATCCACCGAAGCCTCCTTTACCTAATTAATTAATTTATTAATTTCCTCTACCTTTTTTACCAATGGTTAAGCGTTCTGAAAATACGAAGTATGTCGTAAAAAAAAGACCACCACCTAAAACCACCCAGAGAGAAATGAGCCTTGCAGAGAAGAGCATGATAATCGCCTTTTTCTACTGCCTCTGGAATATTGCCTTGGTGGCTCAAATTATTAGATACCCATGGACAACAGTTAAGAGCTTTCTTGTCTGGGCATGTGAATACTAATCTCTTGAAAATCTTCCTTGCTCCAGTCGTACCCCTATTTTGAGTGGTCAACAGTGTCACACAATTATATAAGCAGCCAAGTCCAACCAGAAAATGACCAGATGCACCTTCAGGGATCACTATGCACCCAGTGTTTCTCTTGATACTGGTAACTCTTTGTGCTACCCAGAGTGACTGGATATGATTGCCTACTAAATTTGCCTGCATAGTGGACCGGGTACTCAGAGAAGCAAACATTAAAAAATGAATAGCCAAGTCAAGACCTAGGCTAAAGCCTAATCATGTGACTAAGAGATTGAGATGGGCTACAGCTTATAGGGACTGAATAGCTGAGGATTTTGAAAGAGTGATTTGAAGTGATGAGTGCAGTGTGGAGAAATCCAAGGATTCAAAGCAACAATGGGTATTCAGAGAACCTGCAGAGAAGTGGTTGGCTGATTGTGTACACCCAATGGAGAAGGATAAGGGAATCTCGCTTATGGTTTAAGGGTGCATTTGGGGTAAAAGAAAAGGTCCATTAGTTCCTATTACTCAAACTATCAATAACATCAGGTATGTTAGACTTTTGAGAAGATATATTTTTCCTGTTATTCATCAAATGATTTCCTTTGATATACAACTTGAAGGTGTTCTTTTCAGCAAGATAATGCTCCTATTCATAAGGCATATAGTGTTATGAATTGGTTGGAGAGAAACAGTATTGAGGTTATGGACCACAGCCCTTATTCTCCTGATTTAAACCCTATTGAGCATGTACGGATTGAGCTTAAAAAGCGATTGTACCAGCAGTATCCAAGGATTGCAGATATTCCAGGAGGAAGAGAGGCTGTTAGGAGAAGACTTACACATGTATTACAATTTGTTTAGGAGACAATTCCTGAGGAGTTTTTTGAGAAGTTGTGGAAATCAATGCCTGGTGGTGTAGCTGCAGTTTTAGAAGCAAGGGGAGATTATACGAAATATTAGCTAGTTTAATTTATGGCAGGTCAATTGACCATTGAATGTTGAGAAGTGCTAGTCGTTGTTGATTGTGAACTTGAACTCGGGCGCGCACACACCTGTTGACAACCCCACTGGCACTGCCCCACCATATGGCTCAACCGTAATTAAACATTGTCTCAGATCACGAACACTTCTGCCGAGTAACTGTATAGACAGAGATTTGTCTAGAAAGGCTCAAGGGATTTCTCATTTTATTTATGACTACTAGGAGTGAAGTAAAGAAGAATAGAATCATGTAAATAATATTATATTGTTACAGTCTCTTCTCTATTACATGATTATCTCTTATCAGCTCAGAGGTACTTCTTGTATCAAAGCATTAAGTATATAATTTACCAAAATAACTTTGACCTTAGTAGAAGTTGAATACTAGACCTTATAAATGAATATACAGGTCATACTAAGTAAACTAGTATATGGTATCTAAAAGCTTCAAAGATACTTTGATATTTATATTCCACATCTGAGTGTTTGCAGACTACATCTATCTCTCATATAAATTATGCACCTCTTTAACTATAACTTACAATGACAGGTATTCTCCAGTAGTGCGAATACTAGGAGACCCTGAAAACCATCACACTTTCTTAGTAATTACTAGTTTGCCTATTGGTAAACTGTGTTGTTCCTAATAGCAATTATTAAATTTCCTGAATTTTTAGACTTATGGCCTAGTTCTTAGATTGAACTGTGCTGGCCCCAATTGTCCTTCCTACTAAAGAAATGATCAGTATTATCTAAGGGTTGTGTCTACAGGAGCAGTTGTATATGCAACCTTCCGAGGTCACCCACTTCAAACCTCTATAA